ACTTCTAGATACATTACCATACGAAGTACAGAAGACTAGCTTAAAGACCTAGTCTCAGCCACACTGTCACCTATCCCTGCCCAGGATTGTGAGATCAAGAGATGTCTGGATGCTTTGCTCAAGAACAATAGACTCTTACTTTTATACTTTAGTTGCACGCTGAACAAGATACTAAGAAATACATCGTTCTGGGGCAGCATGGGACTCCAGAAACTAAATAACATTTAAAAATTTTCTGTCAGTTTTCAAGTAAAACTATATTTCATTTCAACAAATATTTTTTGAGCACCTACAATATATAAGGCACTGTGTTAGAAGAACAGCCTTGTTCCAGAAAGACCTGAACATTAATTTCACTAAACTGGTTCTAATTAGGTTGATATGAATATAATGGATGTTACTGTGAAAGCAGACACTGACAGGTCTTTAATAGTCTGTATTTTCCTTCCTGTATGCAAATGTGTTTTACTATTAGGAATATTAAGAACACGCCTATGAATTAATTCCATCCATTCTTTCTAATGAAAATCAGCAAGAAATCTAATAAAAATTCTCTGAATGAAAATGGTATGAAAATGTTAGATGTTCCAAAGGGGAACCACAATGGTTATCTTGTAAAATATAATCTTAAAACAAATCCATATTCCCTTCATTTTAGCTGTTCTGATAAAGAGTTCACCGATCCACACAAATCCAAATTTAGATACATTCTACAAAAATGACTAGCCTATACTCTGCAAAAATATTATTGTCATCAAAAGCAAAGTGAGGCTAAAAGAAACACTCCAGATTAAAGGAGACTAAAGACATATGACAACTAAATGCAAGATGTGATTCCGGATCAGAGGTGAGTACAGTGTGGGAGGAATGTGCTATAAAAAATTATGACAACTGGCAAAATCTGAGTATGAGTAGCACATTAGATAACAGCATTTCATTTAAACTTAATTCACTACATTTGTTAGTTGCATTTCTTTAATTTGATAATTGTATTGAGGTTATATAAGAGAGTGTCCTTAGGAGATACATCTATTAACAGTCATGATATCTGTAACTTACATTCCAAAGGATCAATAAAAATATTGTAATAAGCAAATAAATTAGTAAGTAAAGAGAGCAAGAGGGAGGAAAGGAAGGAAGGAAAAGAGGGAAGGAGGGAAGAGGAGATAGGTAAGAAAGTGATGTGGCAAAATATTAACAATTGGTGAACCTGGGCAAAGGGTATATAGGTAGGTGTTCATTGCATTAATGTTTTAACTTTTCTTTAGACCTGAAAAATGTTAAATTAAAAAGTTGAAAGAAAAAAACCAATTCACTAGGATATCATTTGATAATTTCTAAATATAAATTTTACTCCCCCTTTTAAGGATTTTGCATAAATTTAAGGGATGTGACAATCTAACCACAGCTAATAAGGAATACCATCTATTATATCCAGATGACCTAAGCACATTTAAGCAGTCAGAATTTTGCTTCGAGAACTGAAATAAGGAAAGAGAGAAGGCCATTGGCAACAAGGCACAGGAACTCAAAACCAGTCACAAGAATTCAAGGTGTCTCTAAGTGAAAAAGCTAAAGTTTCCTTTATATTTGGACAGAAGTTGCACATACAATTCCATCTCAACGGAAACGCCCCAAGAATGTTCTAGATTGGGAATAAGGACATATCTTTAAGGCCAACAAGTAATCTTCAAAGGGGTCAAGCTAATCTTGTACTTAAACACATATTAAAAATTATGTAAGTCTGGGCGCAGTAGCTCATGTCTGTAATCCTAGCACTCTAGGAGGCTGAGGTGGGAGGATCGCTTGAAGTCAGGAGTTTGGGACCAGCCTGAGCAAGAGTGAGACCCCATCCTTACAAAAATATAA